TGGGTATTAAAAAATATTCAAAATGTTAATTAGTCTCGAATTATTTTCCTGCGGTAATTATAATCAGTAATTAATTCCGGAGAATAAAAATAACCGACTGGCGCGAAATTCAAACGGCAGTTCGCTGCACCATCCACTTCCGTGGCACCATGTGCCCATGTGCTTCCGGTTTATCGCGCTGATCTGACGCAAGTGTCTGCATCAAGTTCAAACACGCAGGTTCATCGCTGAATTTGGAGCATGCATGCTCCTAACCGAACAATTATCTTCATCAACAATCGAACTCATAATTAATGTGAACAATAATCATCAATCACTCAATGGCTGCCACACGTAATTTCAATGGGGTAATTTCAACAGCTTCCCAATTAGATTTAACCTCAAACCTTACATAATTACTTCAGAATCATTCCAAAGTCTCCGAATATCCCGACTGCCTGTGACAAACAAATCCTAAAAACCAGATCGAAAATTCCCTGCAGTAATTTCATGAATTATTAATTAATCCTCAGGTCTCCGAGGACATGGACACCAGCCTGTTGGACGTGGACATGAACGACCCAGACCTGGAGGCACGTCTTTACGGTGAGATCTACTACTCTAACGAGACATATCCAGATCCAGTGCCCCAGGGCAGCCCATCACCTCAGGTCAATAATTCCACAGCCGCTGGGACTCAATGGTCTATCGACCCTCAACCAGGACAGAGTGGAAATCCAGGGGAATCTCATTATCCGAGAAAAAAAAAGCACAGAGCCCTGATTGATGGGCTGCCAGGATCGCCCTTCTCCCAGTTCTCCAGAGGACGGAAACCAGAAGGAGATGAGAATAACTTCAGGAATCAAAAGACCTGGGATTCGCAAAGGGTCTTCCCCAGAGGGGATAGCCCGAGGGGCAGCCCCCCTGAACTGCAGAAGTCGAGAAAATCGAGAGAGGCGATCCCCTCAAGAGAAAAGATGACTCAGAACACAGAAGAAATTATGGAAGAGGATGAAGAGCCTGACAGCACCTCTCTGACCGCTCTGGACGATGCAATGACTGCTAATACTACTTCTGAGTCCTCTAGAGAGCATTCGACTCCCTCCAGGTCCCCCCAGAACACACCCCAGGAGGATTCAACCTTCCAGTCACCGGCAGAATCTCAGGACGACAGGAAAACTCCTGAAGAGAGTTCAAACTCCAAGTACAAGGTTCAATGTAAAAAATCCAGGAAAAATCCTCCATCTATGATTGTAGAGGACTCTGATGACTCAATCCTCGAGGTGCCAGTCCCTCCGAAGCCCCTGCCACCTCTTATCAGTCTTCAGGATTCTGATGAATCGAGTGACGAGTCACCAGTGAGGATGGACAGGACGCCACAAGAAGAAGAGTCCTCTGAATCCTCATCCCTGGAAGTTATTGACGAGGACACGACGACCCAACTGATTATTAATTGCACTAGTGTGCAGAAGGGGGTGTCTAGTCTAGCGGAGATCAAGAGGCAGAGGAAAGAGAGAGAGAGGAATCCTGGGGGCCAGAGTGATGAGGAGAGTATGACAGAGAGTGAGGCCCTGAATTGGGGGTCTCTGGAGGGCGAGATTCGCGAGGAGGGAGAGCTGGTGGATACTGAGGAGAGTGTTGAAGTCTGGGAGGGAATCGTGGAGGAGAGTGACCAGAGGAGGAATTTGCTGGACGAGTCTGGATCCTCTGGAAAATGCAGTGAAGGAATGCCCTTGATGGTGGCTGAGCAGAGGGTAGCTGAGGATAAACGCTCTGAGGGACAGAAGAGGGCACACAGTGGAGGGAGTGAGGAGAGCCCCAGGAAGAAGAAAAAGAGGGAGAGGAGTATGGGACTTCAAGAGTATTTGTTCCAGCCCATGCCCAAACAGCTCAGAGATTTTTATAATGAGCCCAGGGGGGGAGATATTATGAAAGACATCAAGGAAATTCAAAATGCCATGCCAAGTGAGTGATTCGATGGATTTTTTAATATCGTAGAAGATATTCTCAGGGTGGAGAGTAAATAGGGATTTAATTGAATTAATTAATTGAAATTGTAATGAATTTATGATTTTTTATAGAGCATCCGAGTCGGTGGGTGGTTTTAGACGCAGATTTGTATCCGAGACCGCGCAAGAAGAGGAATACATGCGCTATCTGTCAATGTGAGGGCCATCTTCGTAGCAGATGCCCAGAGAGGCCCAAGGTTCCCACTTGTCACGTATGCGGAATCGTCGGCCACTCTGAGCCCAGGTGTCCAGAGAGCAGAAAATGTTTCAACTGCGGGAAGAAGTGGTCGACCTGCAGGAGAACCTGCGAACACTGCAATAGTCTTCAGTGCAGCCAGTGCAAGGGGAAGGGCCACTGCATTCGGAATTGTCCTGACAATTGGAGGAAATATCATCAAACGGTAATTAGTAAAGCACAAGGATCTCTTGATGATTATTAAGTTTCAAATTTATTTTGAGAATTTTTGAAAATTTTCACAAAAAAATTATGAGTTAATTAGTAATTGCCATAAGTCCAATTTTAATTTTGTTAGATATTGATTTTTATCAGGAGTTTAGACTACTTTTTTAAATCTTGAATTATTTACTTTTTAATCATCATGGAAATATCTTTTTTTGTACTGCAATTTAAATCTATGATTTAATTATCTGATGATAATGACGCGTGGTATAAATCTCTTCAAAATTTTCACCAGAAAATGCGATAACACTCGTTGATTCAAAATATTTAAAGAGTCGACGATTCTCACGTTGAAACCCCAAACCCGCGCGTCTGATCGCTGCACTGAGAAAATCGATTACTTCAGCTCAATTAAAAAATAAATCTAAAAATCAATTCAGTAGAGAACACATAACTAACAATTCTATTGCTATTTAAATATTCAAAAAATATCTCTGAATCTGAGATACCCCAATTGTCATGGGATTTTTTAAAAGCCCATAATGGATTCTACAAAAATTTACCGGGAGAGAAGAGAATAAATTCGGTATTTCGATTGAAGTCAGAGATACGCCCCGAAAATTTTGGGACTAAAGTTGACTTATCTGAGCGAGTAAAATAATTTTTCTCAGTAAATTAAAAAGATGGAAGAAAAAAAAGAAACCGAACTCACCCGTCTCAATTTATGTGATTACAGACGACGGGTGAGAGCGTTAGCATCACAAGCATTCGTTTAGCTGTGATGAAACCACCGAGCCAACTAGTATGCTGCCACTGCATTCAGCGAGGGCATCACGTGTCAACTTGTCAAGATTTTCATACCGACAATATCGAACCGATATACGAGATCATTGACATCGACAATATCGAGGACAGTGACGATGACGTACAAATTATAACACCTGATCCTAGACTCGACGAAGTTGTTCTGTTATCAGACGATTCGGATGACAGACTAATCTCCGATAATGATTCAGAATCGAGTAGTTCAATATCGGTTGGGGGTGAGTCGAGGGGGAATGACGACAGTGATGATGAGGTCGAGGTGATACCATACGTTAAACCACCAATTCCCACGGTCTGCATAAGCGACGAGGACGAGGTCGATGCGTCCAATCGATTTGAGAAAAATTCGAGTGAATCTCGAGATAAATCTGATTCATCTGACAGTAGCTCTGACAGCGACGAGGAGATTAATGTCGAATCTCTGGATGAAGACGTTGATGTCGAGGATTTTAGTGATAAGGATGGGGAGGAGACGGCTAATGAGCTTATTGACATTGAGGGAGGAGGGGAGAGTAATTTAGATAATGATTTGACGTTGGAGACTGCAATTAATTGTGAGTCTCGAGAATTTATTGAACTCGAGGTTGCTAGTTTGTTGATGAGAATTATTCAGGATGTCGAGGTCTTGAATGGGGTAGAGGATGAGGGTAAAGTGGAAATTAATGATTTAATGAGGGATTTTCGGGACGTAGGGAAATCTGGAAATTCGGAGACACAAATCATTCCTCATGGGAATATACGGGACAATTTGAGGGATAAGGAAATGAACTCTCAAGTCGAGGAAGTGGTGGAGAGTTCAGTTGATACTTTTAAGGTCCCAAAGAGAGAACCAAAGGTCAAAACTCCTGATGAGTGTCTCTAGCAGATGTATTTGGGATTACACTCAGAAAAAAAAATCACTTTCAATAGGTGCACTTGAGATAATCAAAGCCAACGTATCGGGATTTTTATAAATATCAATTCATCTGGGAAACTATTGGTTTTAGGAGAAAATTTTGAAGGACTTTTTTGTGGGGAATTTAATCAGCTTGAAAAAAGTCCTCTGGTCTTTGTACCGGAAATAAACAGTTTTCGGGATAAATTGATATAAACGTTTTGGTTGATTGGAATTTTTTCGTGGGTGATGACTTCGATTACCGCAGCATGGGCGAATAATTTTTTTTTTTATCAGTACACCTGATAGTATTAATCAAAAGTCTCAACTGAGAGGGTGGAGAGGTGAATATCGCATGGGCATCAGGATCGAGAGATATTTTCTTCGAATATTCAGACCACTAGCCACCCACTGCTAAAATATATTTTCTTTATGCAGATTAAAAAATTACAATTTATAACTAGAATAGAATTTTCTACTGATCATACACTTTAGATAATTTTCGTTCGTACGGCGACGAGGAAATATTGTTGAATCAATAAATATTATCGTGATAAATCAACCCGTTGATTTTTAATTGATAAAATTCTGAAGAAATGCCACGAATATTTATCCTACAAAATATCCTCTTTCATTTCAGTAACAAATCACCAAAACCGTCGATTTTACGATAAAATATCAAGAGACCTTTTTTGTGGGAAATTCAAATCCCCTCAAAAAATTCCTCCATCATTTTCCCCTCAAATCGATATTTTTTCGATAAATCGACAATTAACAAATTCATCTTAAAAAAAAATCGGTGTTTTTATTTTATTTTCACTGACATTCGTTCCTCCAGACATCAGGAGCAGCAGTGAACATTCCCGCTGACCTGGGGAGTGTGCTGAAGCCGTCGCACCAGCTGAGCTGCAGCAATTGCACCCGAAGAGGTCACGAGGCATCGACGTGCCTGAGTTACCGTTGGTCAGGGCATTTTTTCCAGTCTTGCAACGTCCGAGATTACACCGCAGGTCCAATCTACGCTTTGGAAGTTCCCCAGGTGCCCCAGGTATCCCAGCTGCTAAAGGACACCCATGAACCCATCGACGCCAGCGGCCTGGGGATTAACAGCATTGGACCATCGACTAAACTCTTCTACTTCCTAAACTCCCAGTCCCCAGACATCTCCACCTGGAAGGAATGTTCACTAATTTTTAATGAGCCCTCCGATGGAAAATCTCCCCCGGATAGTCCCATCCTTCCCAATTTCCTGAGGACTCAGTTCAAACACTTCAAAGGTACCCTGATGGAGGTCACTGTAAAACGAAGTCACGCACTCCAGAGACTTGTCATCACGCTGAAAACTCCTGACAGTTCAACCCTGGAAAAATTGAAGGAACTCGTACTCCAGTGGATGATGCGCTCCAGGGACGATCAGGAGACGATGAACAAGATAAAGCGTCTACCAATGACTTATAGGGCCTTGGTGAGGGCTCTAATTAAAGAATTCAATAACTTTATGTGCAGAGCCGTCTCCAACAAGATCTGGCTAAACCGCAGGATGTGCCCAGCCCTCGAGAAGAACACTGCTGAGAAGACGCGCGATAGAGCCAGTGGTAATTCGCTGAGGACAATGCAGCTGTTGGGGAACTTAAAATTTGGGCGAGTCGTGGCGACCTACAAGTACATGCTCATTGGCACACCTGGGGACGTACTCAAACCCTTCTGGAAGTTCCTCAAAGTGCTGCAGGACCCTCCGGGGCTTCAGGGAGACTCTATTCCTGCTGATGTCCACATCAAGGCTGTGTGGTATTGCTTTGAGTTATTCACTCCCCATTTATCCCCTAGTGTGCTCAACGCCTTGGAGGCCTGCAGAGGTGATCCCACATCGAAACTCAGGGGTGAGAGGGCCTTTAAGGAGTTCACTCTGCAGGTGAAGAGGAGTGGTATGCGGTTTAGGAAGGATCAACCAAAATTGCCGTCCATTGTTGACGTGCCAATTCCTCCTCCAGAGGAATTTTCCATTTCTCCTGGATGCTCCAGTAAACCCTTGAAGAGGAAGACTACGACCAGGAAGAAGGATAAGCCTATGAAACCTGCTCCCTTCCCGGGAACTCGAGACATGAATCAGCCGAAGGGCTCAGCAAAGGTATCACGTGAGATCAAAAGGGATCAGCAGAGGGCTGCCGAGAAGAAGAGGAAGAGGAAGAGGAAAGAATCTTCTAATTGCTCCAGGAATGAGCGGATAGTCACACCTGATGTTGTCGCTGAGAACACGAAAAAGGCTCTTGACTGTAATTTGCAAGTCAAGGAAAAAAATATGAAGGACATCGAGACCAAGTGCGGCGAGAACCTCGAGGGAAATGGGGTCGACAATAAAAGGCAATTGATCAATATGTGGAATGACATACGCAATCATTCAATTAAGAGGGATAACAAGAGAATTTCGTGAGGAATTGTTGGAGAATATTTTTTACTAATGTTAATAAATATTCATATTATCAATAATTTCTCTCATCCATACAGAAATAATTCATTTATCTGCATACGCCTTTCAATTAAATAAAAAATTCTAGAAGCATAGGAGAAATGGGGAATGAGAAAAGTGAAGGTAAATCACTTCCTGAGTTTTCTCTGAAAAAATCAATCGACAAAAAATAATAAAGGGAATACTAAAATTCAAGAAAGTCTTCACGGATTTTACTGAGTGAAATTAATGGTTAATTTATTTCCCAACGCAATTATTCTCATAAAAATGACGAATTTATTTACACAGTCACGTACACATCAGAATCAAATGGTAAATTAATGGTGAATTTTAAACTAGATGTAATTATTTTTTTATGGGGGGTGGAGCAGTCATGGGAGGTGGAGGTCCATTCATGGGTGGTCTCATGGGTCCCATGGGTCCCATGGGAGCCATCATGGGTCCCATTGGTCCCATCATCGGTGGTCGCATGCCCATCATTGCTGGCATAGGGCCATGTGGTCCCATCATCATCGGTCCACCTGGGGGCATTGGACCACCTGGATGCATTCCAGGTGGTGGCATCATTCCCATCGGTGCCTGGGGTGGAACACCGGGTCTTGGGCCCAGACTTGGTGGCGGGGGAATGGCTGCACCCTTGCTCGCTGCAAATGGATTTGACGCTATTTTTCCAGCTTTGAATGCAGCTGTTGTTGCATCAATCAAGTGTTGCGCCTGCTCTTCCATCCATTTCTGGTAGAAGTACTTCACGTTGTCCTTGTGCTTACGACCCTGACAGTGAGTTTTTCGAACACTTGGGGAGTCGTGGGTCAAGTATGTGTCGCAGTAGTCACAATAGTATTTCGGCATTTTACTATTTCAAAGATTCTTACCTGACATTAAAAAAAGTTCAAGTTAATTTGAGATTAGAGGTGTTTTTAAGGGAGTATCTCGGTATGTAAGGGAGATATCGAAATTTTTGTGATGACCTTTTTTATGGGCCTTATCTCATTCTACAAAAAAGGTCCCGCAAAAAATTTGGTATCTCTTTAAGATTCAGAGATAACCCCCGAAAACATTATTAGAGTATCACTCGAATTAACTCGATATAGTAGGTATATCGAAATTTTAATAATGACCTTTTAACCACGCAAAAATAATTAAACTGGATAATAATTATATAATTACAATTTTTCCTTTTTTTTATTCCCCTCCTAATTTGACAACTAGTCGACATAATTGAGGTTAACTTTAAATTTCCCTGTGAATTCCCTCGAGTGCCCCGTAAAAACAGTTAAAAAAATTTGATTTCGTGCACTTACCAATTATAAAAGTGTAAAGCAAGTACTCAGGATGGAGTAACAATTGTTTACTGTGAACTGCATCAAATGTTTGGAGTTTGTTTGGAATAAAATCAGAAGGGCCCGAAGCGAACGTGAAAGAGTTGTTCGTTTTATTCCAGCCAGAGGGGATCGACCAACGTAGAGGGTCAGTTCTGGGGGTTTGAGTGACCCCTGCGGCATCGTAGTACTGCACCCCAAAAGAGGGAGGGCACCACACGCAATGCTGGGGTGTTTTTTTTTTATTAACCAAATTTTTATTGTAATGCTGGGGTGTCCATTGAGTCGACGGGGTAAATTTTATTTTCTGCGGTACGAATACTTTTTGTTTTTTAATTGTTTAACTGAAATTTAGTCGACTGTAGAACGAACGGAAGGGGGGAGCAACATTTTGTGGAATTTTAATGGAAAAAAATTTTTCAATGCATTGAATATATACCACTAATGAATTTATATTTTTAAATAAACACGTTGTCCTAGTGGTAACGTGCTCGGCTAGCACGCCGACGGCCCGGGTTCGATCCCGGCATCATTCATTTTTTTTTTTATTAAATAATTCCAATTTTTTTTTTTTGTTAATGGCAAATCAACCGAAATATTGTTTAAAAACTGAATATTTGATAATCGAGAAGATATCCAGTGAAATTGAA